TTTTACCAACATGATTTTTCCAGTTGTAGTGCCTCGTCTGTCAACGGGAACACAGTTAGAGTATCACATATGATGGGATTGCCATCTAACAGTGAGGCTCTCTCGATAGCCACTGTTAGTGTGTAGTTTACTAGTCCTCCATCCACTATTGCATTGTGAGACTGTAAAGTCACTCCATCTGGTAGAGAAGCGGCTACAACTGGAAAAGATGGTATGCTCTAATGACTCTCTTCTCTTCACTTGTACTGTCACTGAAAGTACTTCGGTTGCTGCCAGAGTAACTCTACCCTCTTGAGAGGGAGTGGAAGTCTCTTTTACCAACATGACTCCCCAGCACATCTCAGGTCATTGAAACTAGCCACTGGTGACACTTGAGCTTCAGCTGTTTGAACTGCATAAATTGCGCATTAATATAAGATAGGCAAATTGTTCTGTCTCAGAATAATAAGTGTGTAAGTAGCATATGAAGTAGAACCCACTGAAGACAACGGTGATAGCGATGCCCAACCACAGTAATGGTATCTCACGCATAGCTACATTCATTTAAGATAAACTTCATTCAACATAAACTGACGTAGCGGCGACGACGGATATGGGGTGCCAAACTGCCCAAAAATCCATTTTTAATTCTCAACTCTCCTACATACATAGAGGCCTTCTATTTGCCTACATATAAGCCTTCTGCATATTATATAGGAATCCAATTTGTCATATTATAGGAGTATTATTATTTATAATAGCACTCCTATGGAAATCTAAATATTATATAGGAGTCCTTATTATAACAATAAGGACTCCTATATAATATTTAGGATTGTAAATAGAAGTACTCCTACATAATAAATGAAAAGCACTAAAGTGCAAACCCTCGGCGAACAGCGCATGCGCGGTACCGCTAATGAATGGGCTGGGCTGGGCTATTGGCGTTTACTCGCGGTCTCCCGCTAGTAGCTTGCGGAGAGTCTGACACTGGATAGCTTCAGTAGTAGATAGCATGCGGGAGTCGATACAGACCCTTCGCTGTGGCTTCTTGCGCTCCAAGGTACACAGAGCAAGCGAATCAGGTCGAGTCTAATACACGCATGCGCACCGCTTATTGATGGGTTGGGCCACGCAACGCTGTCCGCGACCGTCTCAGTTTGTCGCTCTCGAACGCAGTCGTTTCAGCAAAATCGTAGTGCTGAAGACATTGGTAGATATCGCTCACGGTCTGCCTCGTAGTCTGTAGTGCGAGAATAGCTGCTGACAGACACACACACCAAAGTATTCGTTGTGACTTTCTGAACCCCAGAGCGAGCGGATCAGGTCGCAGTAAGCCCAGTGCGATTATGCATAATCGCAAAGCCAACTACGTTCTCAGTTCCTTTAAATGTGTCAATCCATCTGTCAAAAGTTTTCGTTTAATTTATCCCTGTAGACTACCGTAACCCTCGCTGCGCATGCGCGGCAAAAAGCACTAAAGTGCTAACCCTCGGCGAACTGCACATGCGCGGTATATACCGCTAGGCCTATTAGTATGCGTGTGCTTGTGGTCTCCGCTAGTAGTTCGCGGAGAGTCTGACACGGGCTAGCTACAGTAGTAGATAGCATGCGGGAGTCGATACACGCCTTTCGTTGCGGCTTCTTGTGCCTCCGAGGTACACAGAGCAAGCGGATCTGGTCGAGGTAAGCCAGTGCTAATTAGCATATTGGCTTGTTCACTTGGTTTTCACGCCATAACTTTTGAACGCGGCACTTTGCGATTAGTACTGTGTTGTCTACGCACATTTCAAGCACGCGCAGGAACGAGTCACTCGTTCTTTACGCTACTGACGCGGACCGCGCGGAGCGAACCACGCCTTTTTTTCGAGCGTGACCGCTGTAGCTAGAGCTCTAGCGGAAAGACAGGCGACGTCAAAGGGAATTCAGGACAAATGACGTGCTTGGCGGGACAGCAGCAAAAATCGGTACTGTCCCGCCAGTTTCAGGACGGTTGACAGGTATTAAATGATGACCCTAAGCAAACATTTTCCTAAAAAAGGCGATAACTATATAATAATAATAATAATTTTTAATGACAAAGAGGGGCAAGGGAGGCTGCGTTCAAAAGTTATGGCATGGAAAGCAAGTGAACAAGCCAATATGCAAATTAGCACAGGCTTACCTCGACCGGGTCGGCTTGCTCTGTGTAATGAAGGCACAAGAAGTCACAACGAAGGACGTCTATCGACTCCCGCGTATGCTATTTACTTACTGTAGCTAGTCGGTCAGACTCTCCGTAGCGTGGAGACCACGAGTAAACGCATAATTAAAGCCCAGCCCATCCATTCAAAGTTCAAAGTTCATTTTGCAGGACCCGAGAGGCATATGCAAAATAAACATGAAATCTGAAGTTCCAGTCCAGATAATCGGAAATACGATAGAGCCCCCGCTCTGACTCCAACTGGAGCATAATCTGGCACCTGGCGACCAGATAGAGCCAACGCTCTGCTGGACAGCTGAACTTGGGTCGATGACTCGTAATCTCGGCAAATGACAGCCATATTTTCTGACTGCTGGTCAATGACACAGAACAGAGGTGAAAATCACCTCGTACGGAGGCACGGTCGCCATCTCGCACGAGGATTACGCGCTCGAACGCAGCGATTTCAGAGAGAACCATACATAATTTTCGACTTATACATACCCGACGCCGAATACCTGGTATTGTTTGTAGAGCTACTCGTGGCTGGTGAAATGAGGCAGACTGACAGACAGACAGATTCACAGAGGGGAATAGGTCATGGAGGTTTCATCTGCTGGCCCATCAACACCCAACCAGTGAATCGAATGACTCTGGAGAGATGTGTACCGGTGTGTCGCAGCCACGAACTGAATCCAGTGCTTGGCCTTTGTTTGTGCTGGGCTGGACACATCTAAAGCTATGGGTATTGATGAAATTGGTTCCAAGGTTCTGAAAAATTGTTCACTGGCACTTTCAAACCAAAAACCTTTTGTCTCTCCCTCAATTTCTCCCTCACAGTTTGGATTTCGTCCTAAGCATTCCACCATTCAACAGTTACTGGTTTTCCTCACTACCCTTCAGGACTACCGGTCCTCAAACTGTCAAGCTGATGTTGTTTACCTTGATTTTAAGAAAGCTTTCGACAGTGTCCCCCATAACAAACTTCTAGTAAAGCTGTGGTCTTTTGGAATCACTGGCAACCTGTGGATATGGTTCCAAGCCTATCTATCCTGTCGATCTCAACACGTTACACTCAATCGCTGTATTTCTGACCCCCTTCCAGTTATCTCAGGAGTGCCACAAAAAGGTATTTTGGGTCCTCTATTGTTCTTAATATTCGTCAATGATATTCCATCCTCTATCGGTTGCTCTCAAATATTTCTATTCGCTGATGATGCCAAGTGTCTAAAGAAAGTTTCCACTCCATCTGACTGTCTTTTACTCCAAAATGACCTCCTTCGCCTGTCTCTATGGAGCCAAAAGTGGAACATCCAGTTCAATGCAAAGAAATGTGTTGTTCTGAGATTTAGTCCCAAATTTCCTCGCGTCATCATTGACTACACTATCAATAACACTGAATCCAAGTTCTTAACTGTCATGGTGACCTTGGGATTTTATTGTCTAGCGACCTTAAATAGAATAACCATCTCAAGTTCATTGCCTCTCGAGCATACAAAGTGCTAGGCCTCATTCGGTGTTCCTTTTCTCTGGGTCTTGATACTAAGGCTAAAAGAACTTGTCAACCCCTCTTAGTCGTTCTCCAACTGTCCTATCCTACGGTTCACAACCTGTTTGAGCCCGCATCTTGTCAAGGATTATTATTAGTTGAACAAATCCAGAGAGTGCTACAAAGTATATTTATTCTGAACGACTATAAATGTCCGAGTACTAGCATCGCCTACTGTCACTTAGACTTCTCCTCACATGATGCAACTGGAGCTATAGGCATTATTTTCTCATCGTTGCCTCAAGACCCCTGATCCCTCTAAAACCTTTTCCCTGCATGCTTACGTACATTTTCATAATCAATACAATACCCGGTCTTCAATCCCACCTGAACTGATGCATTCCCTCTGTAAATCCCACATGAACAACGACACTTGATTTCCACAGACTTCCACGCTCTGAACCGCCTCTCCACCTATTAACCTATACTTGTCCTCGCATCCTTAGTCATTCTTAGAAACAAACACCAATACCCTGCTCTTCAGCTGAGCCTTGATCATTCTAATCTTACCATGCGACATCAAGTTCTTGAAGTATTTGGTCACATTTGGAATCTCATTTTCTGAGACGATCTGTGCACCTATCACTACATTTGCCTATGTTCTTGTGTGTT